ACAAGACAACATAAATTGACATGAATAATACCCAAACTTAGTATTTAGACTCTGCTTTTATGATCACGTCTTTACTGCTATTTTTATTTATTTATTGAGATCTTTGGTATTCAAAAGCTGTGTTCAAAGTTGACTAATTGGATTTAAGTGAATTTATTTAAGAAAAATCTTCTAATGTAGTGAGATGTGGGAATCTTCTGCTCAAATCTGGGTTTGGTTTTAGTTTTTCTGGATTTAAATTGGGCTGGCCCTTGTACTTAAATTTGATTTGGGCCTTAAGGCTTTCTACTTCTCTTGGGCTAACTGGTTGGTTGGAAAGATGATATCTACCACCCCTTTAGTTTAATGGCAGGTTTCTCCTACACTTTTACATGTTTCTGCCTGTCCTTCCACATAAAAAAAATTGTCATTTTACTCTCTTTTTAAATTGTATAATTCAGAAGTGAACTTCAGTTACATACTGAAAGTTTTGTGGATTATATAATTCCAAAATCATATTTAACTTTCGAATAGTACAATTCATAAACTAAAAATGACTTTTTTTCAAAAGTCGAAAATATTTTTTTTATCCATTTAACATAAAAGTAGTGCATCACGAACCTACATAAATGGTGAATTACGCGTAGTTAGATATTTAAATGTGTTGTTTTAACTATATCAGTAAAAGAATCTTTATAAACAAAATAACCTTACTTAGGAAGAAAGTTTTCCAAAGAATTTTAAAGGAGCATTTCTTTACTAGTTAAAATAGTTTATATGATATTATTAACCGGCATAAAAAGTGATATTATTTTTCAATACACAGTTTATATGTGTTATCCACCTCATACAAACTTACATAAAATTTAATATCATAATACAGTCTAAATATATATAAAAGAAACAAAATAATCACTATATTTCTTACTATTTACACATCAAATAATAGTTCATATCTTAATTTATTATAAATAGATCTAATTTTTACCTAACATCGTATATAAACATTTAAAAGGAATGCAACACACTACTCCCGTACATCCTTTAGAATCTCTTATTCAATTGACGATGTGTTATCGAATATTTACACAATAAATAGTTTGAGTCAATGATGTTTACAAATATGATTTTCTACATGTGTCTCATGATGTAATATCATACTCAAAGTTTCCTTGTTGACGCGAGTACTGCAAGTTAAATTCATAATGTATCATATACTGTACAATTGTATTTCAATAGTCTCAAAGATGAACTACTTACAGTTGGTGTAATAAATTGTAACTTCTTTTTAGAGGCAGTATATGTTTCTTGCAACCTCGAATAAGCCTCAAACACTCTATAAAAGTTAAATGTACACTGAAATGAGTGTCTAGTATGAAACTTAGTAAAATTAAATTACGTGTACAAAATAAATAGATTAATAAAAAACTTACACTATTAGTGCACTTTTAATTGCCAAAGTATAAGGTTTCTTATGTAATGAACATAAGATAATCACGAAAAGATTGTTGAGAAAAAATTACTAACAATTGTTATTGACCCCTAAAGATTCCAACAATAATAGTTTGAATAAGGTGTTAAGTAGACTTTTTTTTTCCCTTTTCAAATACTTCTAAGAGGTACTTTTGCACCTCTTCACCTTTATTCCTAACTTTTTTTTAATGATAATAGAGTCAATAAATCCATAAATGTGGTTATTCTTACTCTAAATGCTCAACGATGTAAATACCTTAAACATTGAAAATAATGAATAATGTTAGAATAACATATTGAATATATTCAAACTTCATAAAAGTAAAAATTTACTTACACCAACCAAAGTTGTAATACTAATATACATAACATATAAGTGTCAGAGAGAACTTTCAAGTTGTTCTAAAACTGTTTGTATATCTTGTTATACCAGCTCTAATGCATTACATCTTATAAAACCCATTAAATTATTTCTTTTTCCTTATTTCTTTATTTTCTTTTGTAATATGTGGGGATTATTATAAAACCTATGCTTTGATATAGATATTGCAAAAGTTTCACTTTTGACCAAGTGTATAGTTGTAGCGTGTTATTGGAAGTTGCTCCACAAATAACACTGAAGGTTGTTACTCCTCTTCCGCAAGATCGAGATTTCATCCTCTTTTTGAGTGTTGTTGATTCGGTCTCAACGAACCACAAAGTTTGGGATCTTCCACAAGGCATGGTCTTTTGGAGTGGTCACCTTTCGCATCCAAACTCTATAAATGGATATGTTCTAAATGGCACATAATATATTCTTGATTAGCTCTCTCTCTCTAGCATAGTAGTTTCTTATAAAGCTCTTCTTTTTTTCTTTTATAGAATTCATCTTGAGTTCTTTTTCTTTTGTCCCTTTGTTTTCCTTTTGTACTTGATCTTTTCCACAAATATCCTAGGTTTATTTATTAAATATATACTTGCTAGTTCTGATATCCTGAAATTTTTGAGAAGTTTCTTTTATATATGAAGAACTTACACAACACATTGTAGATAAGTCTTTAAAAACATTTAATTTACACGTATCATCGAGAAGTTTTGTTCGTGTCTTTTGTTAGTTTTTGCAACAATTATTTTGTGTGTGATTGACTTGTCTATGTTTGGAATTTTAAGATGAAAAATGCCGAGTGTAATTAAAGTTATTTTTTTACTAAATTTAATTGAAATTTGTTATTACTAATTTATATAATTTGTTTAGAAGAAATCTTAAATATGTTAACAGTGTATTTGATAGAGATAGAAATATATATATTTTTTTCAAGCATTATTTATATAATATGATGAAAAGAAAAAAAATGATCTGTTTTCAACCACCAAACTATCCTAAAGATGGATCTTTAGGATGAGTGTGTGGATTGTGATTGTTGATGGATAATCACGATGGCATGGTTCCACGCAGCACGCCACAACAGCTTTTGTCGTTTCTCAAAAATTCAGAAAACGTGGTCGTTTTCGATGGAATTGTGAAACCACCGTCAATTTTGTCTTGTTTTTCATTTATACGATTGTTTACCCATAGGAATCAACGTACTTTGTTTTCTATTAATCTCTTATTACTTCAAACTGAAACAACCACATTTGCTTTGTTTGAACTTAAAGGGCCCCTCCTTTGCAAATGCTGCATCCTTGACCACATCTTGTCTCTTCCAACTCTTAGATTTTCACATGAGTGGATATTATCAACAACATTATTTTTCTCTTCTTCATGGGATACAATAAAGAAAGACAAGTAGCAACACCAAGTGGATAAACTTTAAGATTCGTCTTAGAATACAAGATAAGCTTTGCTTTGTCAGCATCACCATCCACATCCCCTATCTAATCTTGCTTAAGATCAATCCAATTGCCTTATTAGTTTAATCATTTCGTATTACTCATAACTCATAAACCTTTCATGTAGTTATTATTCTTGTAGGATAAATGTTTATATATAATATTCAAATACACTTGTTAACTATGTTATCGCTTTCATACTTTACTGAATTCTATAAGGAAAAAAATCTAAATGAAAATAGTAATAAAATAAGAGTGTCATTTTTTTAAAACAAAAAATTATTCGTTGCTAGCGTAAATTTTCTTAGTGTATCAGTTCATGAAATAATACTTTAAGTGTGAGTTAAAAAAATTACATAAAATTCAATACTTTTTAATAATAGAGCAATTTAGGATTTGATAGTATAATATATGGTATATATTCTACTCGTATTAAAAACGAAGTCAAATATAATTATACTTTGTTTATAATTAATGTTATTTAATTGTTTATAGTTACTTTAAAAGTCAATGATGATGGAGACATATATATCTGATAGAGTTATAGCTAATAATTATATATTTCATTTTTCATTTCTTATTAGTGCATGCCACCAAGAATGCATGTAACAAGCTTTATTTCATAAAAGAGGAGCAGTATAAAAGTATTCCCTGACGTACTATATTTTATTAATTAAAATTTATCATAGCTACAAAATTATAAATTAGGAAATGAAATTTACCCAGTTTTAAGATTTAGATATCCTACAAAATCAAACTTTCGTTCTCTCCCCTCTTCTAATTAAAGATTTTCGATATAATTTTTTTCTATATTAGAAGTGTATTTTACATTCTCACCCCCACAATGAACCAAATATTTCCTCATTCAATAACCTGTAATCAGCGTCTCTTAAATAGAAATAACTTTATATCAAATTTTATTACAAAGTTAAAACACGATTCGTGTAATCAAAATGCTTATTTATTATATTTTTTAATTATATAAAGCAATATTTATCAGGTACAATGCACGATACATATTTTAAACTGTGAGATACTATCATTTGTGTTGATATTCACCAAGAAGCTTCATAAATTTCAATCATTAAATCGAGTGCTCATCCAAAATCTTCCATAGTTGGACCCCAAGTTACCTCAACCAAACATTAATCTGTATTAGATAACAACGTGCAAATTGCTTACATTCGAATCGTAAAAACAATTCAATGTCACCATCATTGTCTCACGTCGTTTACTACGTACCTTCTGTAAACAAGAGAAGCCATTGCAACACACAGATTTCAAACACTGCAATAGCTGTATTATAGAAGAAGATAAACAATGTCTGCTTTTTACTTTGGTTTTTACTTTGCTCCTTTGTCTGCTAGCACAATCCGAATGATCCAAAATCAGAGAAAATGGAAAAGAGCATTGCAAACTATCCAGCAGAAGCTAGATATGAATGGAGAAAATGGAGAAGGGACCGCTTGAAGAATCAAACATATGAATGAATTACGTTAGATAACTGTTCTTGGCACATAAAAAAAAAAGACACCATTGTTCAATCTTCTGATTTCTGACATTCCTGAGACAAAGGTGGTGTGCTAACAGAAAACTACAGTCGAAAATAAACATTTGATATTATACAATCAATTGGTAGCGAATCCATTCTGGGAAAGGCAGAGCTAAGGTAAAAAATGTTAGACAGGGAAGTACAAAGCAAAGACACCCAACAGTCTCTTCAGAACTCAACAACTATGTACATGAAATTTTATTTTATTTGACATGGCATCATACGAGGTTAACAGTAGAGAGAGAAATCAAAGGCCCCGGAATCCATTCACCGGTTCCGAGACCCATCCAACGTGAGGAGCAGAACCTGCAATGGAATTCTCCCTGCTAAGCTTCGCGTATATTCTCGCCCTAATATCTCTCCCAGATTCCACTCTCTCCATAGCAGGCTCTTCTTCCTCACACCCATTACCACTCAAAATACCGCCACTTGTTGACCCGAACACGCACCGGGTCAAACCCGAGAAAAGTCCATCCTCCAGTTGAACATTCCGCATTGAACTAACTATCTCTTGTATGTTGTGGACGTAAGGAGAAGAGGGTGGAGAATCGAAGAAGGAAGAGGTGATAACCGAAGTGGGAGAGGAAAGAGAGGACGAATCGGGTGCGAGGCGGAGCTGGTCGTTGGTGTGAGCGAAGAAGCAAACTCTGCGGCGGCAGTTAGTCCCGTCTTTACAGAGGTGGGTTCTGTAGCGAGAAGGGTGGAGCCAGCACTCGAACACGCCATGCGCAAACTGACACGTGTCACCCCTCTTGCAGTTCCCCTTCCGGTAATCAGGGCACGCCGTGGCGGAGTAGAGGAACTTGCGGGGGTCCCGGCGGCGAGCCTTCTCGGCGGGGTGGGCGTAGGGACACTCGGTCCAGTCGTGGGCCCTGCCACGTGGACAGGTGAGGACCTTGAAGTGGAACATCCGGAAATGATCGGTGGAGAAGGAGGCGGTGTCGGGCGCATTGGGAGAGAACGGGGAGACCGGTCCTCCGTCTGCGGCGGCGGAGTCCCAGAGGGGTATTTGAACATTGGGTGTCATGTGTTTATGATTTGGATTTTGTTTGTCTGTTTGGGTGAGAGTGAGTAAATATATAAGGCGGGGTTTTGCTTTGTTTGACAAAGGTTGAGTCAATAACAAGTAACATAGAAATATCTGTAGTTTTATGATGATGAGGTGTACAGCTTCCACATGGCTTTGTTACTGTAAGAGTTGGTGTTAACCTTTCTTCTCTTTCTCGTCATCCATCAGAAAAATTGAGTTAACCACCCAGAAATATATATATATATATATATATATATATATATATATATATATATGATGTCTAGGATAAACAGCTATAACTTTATTAACTTAATTAAACCAATTTATTGTTAGAGTTCAGAAATTCAATTTTTGGAGAATCAAATTCTTATAGCTAATAATCCACGTCAGTGTCAAAGAACCGGTCCATGTTTGATTTTTGGCGAACTGAATTCTACTCGGTCTTTTACTTTTTCTTTTGAATTTAGAAAATAAAGAGTTTGAAGAATATGTAAACAAAATAAAAAGTTATAATTATATTTTGTGTGAATTCAATGTAGAATAATTTAAATGATAAATTAAAATCAATCTGATGAAAAAAATTGTAAAACTAATGAAATATGTTTAAAACTATATTGCATTACGATTGTTCGTTATACAAAATTTAAAATGAATTTATTATTTTGAAAAAAAAGAGTATATAAGTATTAAAAAAATTTAAGTAGTGGTTTAAAATTTAAAAAAAATAAGAATTATATTTATATTTTTTTAGTAATGTGATATGAAAACAACTTTATATAAGTAAATGCAATAAATAAAAAATGTTATATTGAAATATCAATTATAAAATAGTATTTTACCCATCGGGATCAACTAAGTTAGATGACAATAATACTTTAATGAATAAATTTTGTATGAATTAAAATGATTTAATAATGTTTAAATAAATATCTTGTTAATAAAATTTATAAAAAAGTATTCAAATAATGTTATAATCATTTTAAGTATTAAATTGTTGGGATAGAGAAAAACTAAGTATTATTCATTTTACTTGCAATAAGTAAAACTAAATCTAAAAAGAAATTACAAAATATGTTTTAAATTGATATAAAATATTTTAAAATGAAAGTTATATACAAATTAATATCTGGATAATTATTTATAGATATAATAAATTGATGTGGTGATAATTAATATTAGGTATTAATTCAAAATATGAAGCTTTTGTTAAATTTAATCTCCCGCAAATAAAATTTTAGGTGAACTGTAATAAAATATTTTTTTGAGCGAAAATGTATAATTTATTAGGTTTAAACCCTACTTATATTTGTTGAAAATTTTTAAGTAAATCCTCGTGTTTTCAATTATCAAGATTAGGTTTTTATTTTTGGAAAATGTCTCAATTGGGCCTTAAGAGGAAGGAGGAATGCTTTGCATGAAACGGTGCGATTTAGCGGTGGTGACAGACGAGAAAAAAAAGAAAGTAATGACATCTGTTATTCACAGGCTCTGCCCACAATCCACCAGCACCAACATGATTGATTTCCTGTAGAATCAAAATTTAGATACTTTAAAACTATTTCACCATAAAAAGATATCCATTTTAGTATTACATGTTCAGTATCATAATATATAACACACACACATATATATATATATATATATATATATATATATCAACACAATCTGATTCCTTGATTTTTTTTTCCTAATAAAAATATTAAAATTAAAAATAAATTTATTTTACTAAAATAATTTTTTTTACAATATTAAAATTAATTTTAAAAATTAATGTTAATTTTTTACTCTTTATAAACTCCTTTTACAATTAAATATAAGATTAACAATTATTATTTTATATTACATTAAAAATTACAGATATTTTGATAATCTTTAGTTTTTAAAAATTAAACAAATTTTTTAAATCTGTTACATGAATCAAATCTTACATTAACTCTTATCAACTTTATTTTCAAATCCATTCTCAATTACCTTCAAATTCACTTAAATTTACTCTCAAATCCACCTAAATCTACTATCAATTACTTCAGATTCACCTAAATAAACAATAAAAAATTTATTTTCAAATTCATTAAATTATTTTTTCAAATCATCTCCGGTAAACAAAGTCTTCCATGAAAAGGAAACTAAGGCTTAAATATTTAAGGAATTAGATGAAAAAATGAAGGTGCGAACATAATCGGTTTCTTTAAATAATTGTTGGAAAACTATTCTAAAAGAAAAATTATATTTTAGAGGCTGTTTTTGTTAATAATATTTGTTTTTATTGTTGTGGAGAGTAGAAAACATTCCCATAACAATCACAATCAAACAATCTAAGATGTAATAAAATCGTGTCTTTGCTGAGAGAAATCATGTCTTTCCTGCTCATATGCCATCGCAGAAACCTATTCGTCCCGTAGAAAAATGTCACTCTCGCCAATCGGAAGTGGCAAATTTGACTTGTTCTCTTGAACAGAGAAAGAAGGTATATGAAGAAGACTTTAGGGTTCCTGTATACGTTCATTCAAGGGTTGGTCAGTGTAATGATAAAAGTGTTGAGAGTTTCGACAGGAAAAAGATCACTCATACAGGCACTAGGTATTTCGGTTGTTCAGTTGCAGGGCAAAGTGATTGTGAAAGGGTTCCCAAACAATTTGGGTCCTCACATGTCAGGAAAGATGCGCGATGTGAGACTGATGGTCTTCCTCAAGTAAGTACAAGTAAAGACCAGCCAGTAACGTCTGTCCGAAACATATCAACGAGAGAAAATATTGACACCTTAGTAAGGCAAGCCAAGGTGACTCCGAATCAAGAGTTTCAAGATTGTCATGTATCAATAAGGAACAGATTTAGACAGGATGATGGTTGCTTACAGCAGGACTGCTTACAGCAGGACTGTGGAGTGGGGTCCCAATCCAATGACATTGGACACAGTGGTTCTCTTGTTCAGTCTTCAAGGAAGCTTGGTAATGGAAATGCCGCTACAGCAAACCAAACCAATCCAGCTGAGGCAATCAATGACACTGGACATCATGATACCGGGGACGGGCAGTCTGATACAGTAGGGGGGAATTAAATGGAAGTGACAATGCTTCGAAGATCTCCTCGGTAGACAATCTGTCACCATTGAAAATTTCTCCAGATGATGTTGTTGGAATAATTGGTCATAAGCAATTCTGGAAAGCTAGAAGAGCAATTGCCCTGTAAGTCATGTTCCCTGTCGGTTGCATTGGCAGTTCCTAATGGTCTTAATGAAGTCTATTTTCCTTGTTAAATATTTTTTTGTCATGTAAATAGTAAACTCTTTTAATTGATTGGACCTGACAATATCTTAATTGTTGACTATTGTGGACAAGGACAACCATATCTAGATTTAGATTACAAAACCCAAAAGCCATGTTTTTGGTGGAAGCTTGATATGTCCACTGATTTTAGGAAACTGTTCACCGCTGATTGTTGTTTTCTTCTATTATGCATCCTTAGTTATATATACTCTATGCATGTTGGCTGGATATTTTCATTTCAGTTAAGGAGTTATAAATGTTGTTTTCAAGAAAGGAAATTTGCTAGTCCTGGGGCACTTTCTATTTGAATTTTTTGTATAGATTCAAAGTCTTTAGTGGGACATGACTATTGTTATTGTTGTTGCTGTAAAATCAAAGTCCTTGATAGTGTTTTAATGGTGGATACTGGTTACAACAGGGCAGTGAGCAGTCTTAATATTATACTATGTTGGAGGGCACCCGTGTGACAGCATATCATCTCATAATTCACTGTCTTCTAGCCACTGGATTTTGGATATGTTTCTGTCCACGTTTCCTCTTGCTTGGTTCTCCATGTCACCACTGGGGCAAGTTTCCTTACACTACACTGAAGGACTTGAACTAAGAAGGGGGACCAAGTAAGGCAGGATGGCCCTGGATGTATGGTAGGGACACTTGGAGAGTTCATGACTGAGATTTTGATAATAAGGGGATTTTTGCCCTTTTTCTGTAACTTATCCAGTGTCTTCTTTTTCTACTTTCGAGAATTTTGGGTTGGGACTTATACACACTTTTGTTAGTCAGGTCGTCTTGCCATCTAGAGCTTGGATAAATTTCATATCACAGATATTTTTTGCATGAATTTGATGTATATGTGCTTATCCCCAGCCCCAGAAAAGAAGTTTACTGTGAAGTTTTACATTTTTTCTAGAGTGATTGATTGATTGTGACTGTTGAATGCTAATGTTCCCACAGTTTGTTGTATGCTCCAATGCTCCTTGTTATCCAGTCTTTATTCCGAATAGAGACAAAGAAATTGTTCAAATATTTATTTTGAATTATATAATGTTTTTTCTGTGGTAATTTTAAATGGCCTTAGATACAAGTCATTACTGTCTTAAACCATGTGAAAGCTTTTTCATGACACTACGATAGGCATGTTAAATTTGTGAACCGGGTATGGTTATCATATTTATGTCTTGTTAATAATATGTTTAGTCCTCCCCAAGAACCACGCTGAGACTTGTATGAATATATCATATAGATATTTTTTATATGATTTTGATGTACATGGTGCATATCCCACCACCGCCCCCCACAACCCACACACACACATAAATTGTTGACTGAAGTTATTTTACTTAACCAGTTACCTAATTTGATTGGAGATCCTTTGATTTTGTAGTTAGGTCTATGCCAGTGCATCCTAGTTCCGACATGATCATATACTTCATTAGCTTCATTTTCTATGTTATTTCAATTCTCTGTCTCAAATCCTTATTGGATGAGTATTGTGCAATTTTCTTGATCCAACTCTTGTTCCTCTCTACAGTCAACAGAGAGTGTTTACTGTCCAAGTGTTTGAGCTTCACAGATTGATTAAGTTAAATTATCTCTGCTACTGTTCAGCATCATGTGTTGGTCCAGAATGGGAAGCTTATTAGCTTCTCTTTCACGCACACTCCTGAAGTTTTTTCATACTAATGAAGTATTTTTTATGTTTAAGCAGGTCCAACAACTAATTGCTGGATCACCAGAGGTTTTGCTTGAAGATGGCACTTTTCTGGGAAAGTCTA